TCCCAATTAACAACAAAGGGTGCTGTTAGTAAGTACAAATACATGACAAATGCTTTCTATCATCCTTCACTTGAAGGGTGGTTGTACCTTAAGTGTAGGAATTTTAAGTGAGTTCTTTTTATTCTACTAATATGTGAATAAAAGATGTTAAGGGTCACCATTCCAAATATGGGCCATTTTGAACCTTAACCTGTATAAAGAAACCAGTAGTTCTACTTAAGACATTTTACTGTAAAGTTTTACTTTTTGTCTCTTTTTTCCTTATACCAGAGGAATTTCTAGGCACCTCTCACTGTAAAACAGCATGTACAATCTTAGAGAACTCTACTTCTGTTAAATTAGATAAAAACTATTTCCAAAATACGCTAGTACTATTTTTTTTCATGTATTGTATATCTAAAAGGATCTAAATTTTGAATATGCTTCATAATATAAGGCAGAAGTTCCATATCCAAATATGGAAAGGTAAATACAGGTGAATCTCTTCTGACTGCTATTACAAAAGACTTCTGTTATAGCCATCCATCCTTTATGAAAGTAAAGTAAATTATAGATGCCTAAATACAAGTAACTTGAAGTATGTTTATTTGCCCACACATAAATATTACTCTTCCCTTGTTTCAGTACAGCACGTATAGGTCACACTGGAATGAAAGTGGATGAGATCGTGGAAAATGTCATTGCAACAGCAAAAGTGATTGCTAAGAAGTTACCAAAGGTACTGCTGATTGACTGCATTAAAGCCCAGTGGGTTCACGTTCAGCCTTGCTATTTTTACATAATGTACTGGTTTTGTTGTTGCAGAACTGGAAAAATGTGAAGATTCTTCACCTCAAAACACTTAAATCCGTTGCGCTTCCAATATTTACTGCGAATATTTCCAACCTGGATGAGCTTGACACAGAGCCACCTCTCAAAAAGAAGGAAGAAAAGGTAAAACAAAATTTCTTCAAACTTTGCATAAGGTCAGGTTGGTGCAGTTAGTTCTTCGTTTTCCTTTTATGCATTATAGTGTTGGGTTTAAACATTTAGCAGTTGATCCCAGGTATTTATGGCTAAAAATGGGTTAGGCCATCACTGCCTCAGTGCTTCAAATACTCAGTAATAATAATGAAATTATGCAAACTCCCTGATGGGTTGTAAAGCAAACTGGAAGCAAATGTTTCTAGTGCTAAACTAAAGGGAGATGAGATTCATTCTTAGAACTTTGTTAGTATTGTTTATTCATATTTGCCTTCCAAATATACGCTCATTAACATATAGGTGGATTTCAGATTATGCATCTATTTTTTGTTGGCTAATCAGTGACATCTGAATAATTCAGAAGCTCATATATTTGTATAGATAGGGGGGCTTATACTTGTGAAAAATAGTAATTGGCTATTCCTTCGTGCTGAATTCTGCTTATGTTAGTTTGGCTGAAGTAAATGTGGAACATGAATATTCAACGTAAAGACTGTAATCTTGACACTGTTGTAGTTGTGAGTTATTTATAATAATCTGCATGCAATGTGTTTTTTCATTTTTTACATGTGGTTGATCGGTCTGGGTCTGTTGAATAAGGGTCTTTAATTGAATGTTGCTACACCGTCTAATTTTTAACCACATGAAAACTATTACACATTTAGAAATGTTATGGGGATTTGTCTGAGATGTACTTCTGATTAACTAGAAGGGAAAAACCAAGAAACCGAAGAAGACAGCTAAAAAACTGAAGTCAAGTCAAGTCACTGTGACAACTGAAAGTAAAGCTGCTGCTGCTACTCAGGAGCCTGCAGTAAAAGAAAAAGCAGAAATAGTCCAAGAACCAGATGATCATGATGATGAAGAAATTCCACAACTGGTCCCTATACAAACAAAGAGTTTAGCTGAGATGGAGGTAATTGCTTCGTAATATTGGAAAACTCATACTTCAGTTAAAACTAAAGATTTTGAACGTATTAAATTGCTCATTGCTCCTTAGGTAACAGTGTGTGTTAACACACTGCAAATGGACTAGGGCGCAGTTCAATTGATAGAAAGCATTTGTCATTTATCATGGCTTTCCTTTCCTGAAAAACAGGAAATGTGTTTCTTAGGTGGAAGGGTAATTTTTTTGTCTTGTCTTAAATACAGAAAATGGAACCAGGTCCAGAAAAAGGTGGCAACGTGGGCAAGAAAACCAAAACACCCCTCGGAAAGAGAAAGAAACAACCTCTAGTATCGGAGACTCCAAAATCAAAACCTGATGTTGCAGGAGAGCGTGCAGACTTGCAGACACCACCAAAACAGAAAAAAGCCAAGCAGGTCAGCAAGCCAAAGGAAGCAATAAAAGGAAAAGACATGAAAAAGACTCCAAAAAAACCTGAAGTGAAGACTTTTGCAACACCCAAAGCTGGCAAATCGATACAGTCAGTCAAGAAGTCTTCAAAACCATCGAAGCAAACACCCAAGAAAGGGCGGGTGCCACAGTCAGCATGAGAGTTGTCTGTTGTAATGCAGTTTATGTAGACATTCAGTGGTGTATTTTTAGTAAACAAATATATTCATGAAGTGAAATACCTTCTTAAGAAATCCAATCCCAAGGGCTTTTTTTCCGCCAAGATCTGTAACAATTAATTTGTTTCCTTCTAATTTACAAGCTGGTACAAATCAACTCACTGTCTTACCAGCCCTATCACTTTTTATCTTTTCCTGGCCCAGACCAAAAGCACTCAAATTCTGCAAGTGTCAAAAGGCAGGGAGGGGGCTATTCCAGGGAAAAAAGCTCAGGAATATTCTGTGACATTTCCTGAAGCATAGCTTAGTACAGACAGGGTCTGAAGCACAAAGCATGCATGCCAGAAGCAGCAATCTACATGTGCTTTTAAAGGTGAAATAGCTACTACCATTTTTTTTTCTATAATTTTTTCAATATAATGAAGACAGGTTGACATCTATTGATCTTACTACACATATTGTAAGTTAGCAGCCTGATAACAAGCCAAACAATGTAAGTTTTAGCTGTTTGTACCTCGAGTATTTGCATATTAAAAAAAAAAGCACTAAACACATTTTCTTTAATCATTTATACTTTATGACATCAAGCAAAATCTTACCTTCACTTGTGGGCTTTTTTTCTGGTACCAGAACAGTTGAGGGTGTTCCTGCATGATGGTCGCAGTACTGTTGTTTCTTCCATCTGAAAAAAGCCAAAGGCTGTATGAATTTGAGGTGTGCCAGACAAGTGAACTAGTCCTGTAATGGCATGAAAAATACATAGGACTGAAAGGTGATTTATTTGAAATTGTACAGAACAACCAAATTGTTCTCTGTATGATGATCACTTTATGTCCTTCTCAGAGTGAGAATACAAGGCAGATTTGTGTTGAAATGTCTTGGTTGTAAAAACCTCAAATCCAAATAGGAAAAAGTTGGTAAGAGATAAGATCAATCAACAGGATGTAACCAGCCTAATTTGCCATTAAAAAAACCCATCCTCTCTCCTTCTTAGGGCTTCCCATATCAATATGTTTGCTAGGAAGTAAATGGGTGCTAAACAAAAGGTGGTAAAAGAAACTAGAGAATATGAAAAAATTCTGCTTGATTAGTGGTGTCTTTTTGTAACTGGTGTCTTTTGTAACTTTTCAACTGTGAACCAACTGCTATGAAAGGAATTGAGTCTGTAGTCACAGTAAATGTCATTGGAGGAATACCCTTCCTCAGCAGCATCGTTCTTGGCACGCTGTACTTCCACAAAAACATGGAAGCTCCATGCGCTTTTAGCCTGTTCGACCTCCCGTCAGCTTGATATTCTAGTTACTGGAACTGTGTGTCTTACTTATTGTTAAATAAACTGTTATATATATAAGGGCCTTGTGAGAGCAACTACAAGAGATCCTGCAGCCAAATAAAGTTCTGGTGCTTGAGGACTTGGGAGCCTTAAAAGGTGTGTACCAGGTCATTAACTAACACAAGGGTGAACACAAATACATGTCTTGCCTTTTACATAACTGCTCACTTGCTGAATTTTACATCTTGCATCCACAACTTGCTTCCTGTTTGTCGCCCTGAAGTTGTATCCCAGCGGCTCTTTATAAGCCTCAAGCGCAGAGTTAAAGGAGTCTATGTGCATTTGCAGATGCACGTTAAACTCTTGCGAATCTCTGCTGTTTGCTACCAGCTGCCTTCTCTTGTGAGTGTGGAGGTCTACAAAGTGTGTCCATCTGGGGAGCAGCTTTTTTGAAGGGCCTCCTTTCCCGGGTGTCCGAGCGAGGGGACGCTGCCCCGGCTGGAACAGCTGAACGGGTCCAGCCCCGCCCGTCTCACCTGCACACGGAAGCGGCAGCGACCGCCACTTCCAAGGGACGCCTCGGCCCCCGAATGCCGCCGGTCGCTACAGATCAACCTTAAACACCTTCAGCACCCACCGCGGGGGCGGCGGGGCCGCCTGAGGGCAGCGCGTTCCCGCCTCATCGGGGCGGGAGCTGGAGGTGCCCTCAGGTGTGGGGGGGCGTGGCCTGGGCGCCCCCTCAGGTGCAGGCGGGGGCGGGGCCTGGCGGTGCCCTCAGGTGCGGGGGAACTTGTCCCGGCCGTGCCCTCAGGTGCGGGGGGCTCGGCCTGGACGTGCCCTCAGGTGGGCGCCGCCCTCCCGCCATTCCCGCCCGCCTTCCCTCACGTGCGGGCGGCCCGAGGCGGCGGCGGCGGCGCCGCTCCGATGGCGGCCCCGGGCGGGCTCGGCCGTTGCGTGGCCGCCTTCTGGCTGGCGCTGGCGTTCGACGCGCTGGGGCTGGCGGTGCTGCTGGCGGGCGTGTTCGCCGACGTGTTCTTCTCCGACCTGCTCATTTACGCGGGCGGCATCGGCATCTTCCTCAGCCTCATCTGGTGGGTGTTCTGGTACGCGGGCAACCTGGAGGTGCCGCCCGAGGAGCTGCGGGACGACGTGGGGCTGGCGGCGCCCAAGGGCCGCGGGGACACGCTGCTGCGGCGGCTGGTGCACGGGCTCAGCCTCCGCCTCACGGCCGCGCTCGGGCCCGGCCGCCCCGCCGACATGGAGCTGCAGCGCCCCGTGGGGCCCCGCGGCCGCCCCGCCGAGCCCGGCAGGTGAGACCAGCGAAGGGCAATGCGGGGGCGAGCCGTAAAGTTTGTCTAGAACTGCAGAAAGCTCTCTTCTCGCCTGAGGTCTAATTTAATACTTGCTGTGTTAAACCACCTGCTGGCAGCTGGTGCTTCTTAAAATGAAAGTAGTGGGGAATCTTTCTGAGCTCAGGCGGTAATAGAAACTGAGAGAGAAGGATGGCCTGAATGTGATCAGGGAGGGAAGACACTTCCTGTGGCCGTCTAAGAACGGGAAAGAGGAGCTGGAGTAAAGCCCAGTGAGGGTGATGGAGCTTTATGTCCGATGCAGCACAGAAGCCCCGTGGTCCTGAACTGGTGCTGAACTGGTCCTGACAGTCACTAAATGCTGCCAGAAGTGGTGTGTAATGAAACAGCCATCAGCCACTACCCACATAAGATCTTGTGAGGGGAAGCTCCCTCTTTAGCACCATGAGGGAGCTTTCTAAGAGAACAAGAAGAAAGGTGAAATGCTGACTTATGTTTAACTTGGGGGCAGAGTTCTAGCTAATAGATTGACGCTTGTAAATGCAGTCATTAGTTAAACTACTTGTCTTGAACCTCAGTCATCTGGAAAAGATGCAGTAATATCTGGAAAAGATGCAGTAATATCCAATGTGCAAAGAAAGTGCCTAGGTCCCATTTCAAAGCCCAGCTGAAGATCATCAAGCCTTTCAAAATCTCCGTAGTTTATTAATTTACATGGCATGTTCATTTAGGAAGAGAAGCATGCCTTGAAAAAGCACGTGAGAAAAAAAGTCTAACTTTCACTTCACTATGTAAAATCCTTCATTGAAGGAACTGTAAAAACAGTTTTGCACTGTGTTCAAGGATTCTGAACAACTTGGCTGTTCTGATTGACTATGTACAAGATTAGCTTTTTCTGCAGCTCCTTGAAACTAAATTCTGAAGCTACTTTTGGTACAGAAAAGTTCATGTGGAAATGGCCTTCTTTCATGAAAGCCACAACATTTTTCTTGAGAGGAAGTTTTAACAGTAAGGAGATTGAGCATATATAAGTATTGCTTAATAGAAAACTTGTAGGAGGCAGAAAAGAACAGCAGCAATACAACTTTCAAAGATTTGTTTCTGCTCACTAGTTTATTATTAACTACATCTGCAATTAGAAAACAGGCTGTTGAAAACCAGTCATTCTCTTTTCAGACTTTCTTTTTTCTGAAATGGGTCTAGGATTGACAGATAGAGATCCATATTTGCCGGCAAGAAATTACATTTATAAATGACCTTTTTCATGTAAAGATCATGGGAATTGCAGGTCTTGAGATCAGTAGATAATCTGCTACCTCTGTAGATGGCCCTACTCTCAATATGCACACATAGATGTGCATTTTGTTGTAACGAACTTCTAGTAGCGAGACTTGTCCATCATTTTTAAATATTTCAAGTCTTATTCCTGATTCTAATGAGGTTTGTTATTTCCTATATAGTGCTTTAGTACAAGTTATCCCAAGTAAACAGCAGCTTCTAATGTTACAGGAAATGAACTTCTATACAATTGCATTAGTAATGGTAATTCAGAAGGAACCAAAACAGAGGGAGTGTATAAGAGTTATGTTACACATTGTAACATAAAACTCTATGATTTTACTTTCAAGGTAGAATAAAGGGTAACAAATGGTGGCATCTCCAAAGAGAACTGAGAGTTCCTTTTGAAGTTAGTTTATCTGAAGTACTTTATATCTTCTCACAAACAACTGTCTGAATCAGATCATTCCTTACTGATAAATATCTCCCCATCTGGAGATATTTATGAACTTAACCAAACGGGTTAAACGTGTTTGGGCAGATATTGTCAGGAGAGAGGAAGGAAGAAACACCACCACATGTGCAAAAAAAATCCCAAACAAACAAACAAAAAACCCCTCACGGTACTGGCCATTAGAAAAGCTTCCATTAATAGCTCTTGGAAGTTATTAATGGAATATTGCCTGCTGTTCCAATGTACCATCTTGAAAATTATATAGTAAAAATGAATGAGAAGGGTGTGAGAATTCTCAAGATATTAAAGGAATAACAAGTAGATTAGGATCCTTGAGCCTGAAAAGAGGTTCAGACACTATTGGAGATAAGCTGTTCACTTGCTGGATCTTTCATTTGGGTCCCAATTGGCTGTTAAACATGAGGAAAAGTACTTCTAAGATTGATGTCACATAACACTTTAGAGTTTTATATGACCATCTGTGTTAAGACTATTTTTGAGTAAACTTTTCTTACTGTATTATCTTCAGGATCTGTTGAAGACATGCCTTTTGAAGTTACTGCCTCAAAAAGCGGGGGAAGTGCTACAAATTATGGAAAGAGAATTCCCTACTCAAAGCAATAGGATTCTCTCACTGTGGAATAATCTCTGCGAGCACTGTGGACTCTGCATAAAATGGACACATGGAGTCATATCTCTGCCAAATACACCTATTTCAGTGTTGGACTGGATATGCTTTGAAATGGTGGGAAGAAAAAAACAACACAAAATCTCTTTAGGAAGTGAGAACTAAAAGAGAACTGAACCCAATTCCCAGAAAAATCTCTGCAGCTTGTCATATAGTTGTGTTTTTTAACTATTATTATTTTTAAAACCCTGGAAGGTTTGGATAAAAAGCTCTTGCACAATGAAAAGCTCTTGCACTGTTTTACCAAAGTCTGGAAGTTAAACTTACTGTGAATTTTTATAATGCCAGTGCAATACTTTTGTTTGTAAGGGTGCTTTTAAAATACCTATATTAAACTATTGATGCAAAGCTGCAAATGCAGTAGAAGTTGTTTATAGTGTAAATACACAGTTTACAGTGTCTCTTGTTAAGTTTCATTGTTATTTTGAAACAACCTGGAATTTGAGGTTTTAGAATTAGACAAGTAAAATCAGCGATATTGGCGCACCGGTACGGTCTTTGTAGTTGTAGGTGATGTCATTTGATGACTCTTGTAAAAGGCATTTTTAGTCCAGTGATGTTGGGAGTTATTCTCCTAATGCTGAAGCATTTGAAGGAAGGGAAAAGACTAAAAGAAACTCTCTTGATTAACAAATACTCTGAGGTTTTATAAAATATTAACAAACAGTACCTGGAAAAAAGACTTATGTTAATGATACCTAAAATTCTTGTATGGAGAAATTCCTCATGAGTTCCTCTGCTTTTGGACTAAGAGTCTGAATCCACCACCAGCAAATACTGGTAGGTCTTAAAATTTCAATGTGCAATTGGTTTTATGCCACACCTTACTGAATACTAGAGGTGGAATTAAGGAAAATATTTACTAAGAACACTGTGGCTGTATTTCCTGGTGAACTCTTAAAATGTCTTTCAATGTTTTCTTGTAAATTACAGAAGTAACTTCTTTTCTATGCATATTCTCTTCTTAAAAGTTTTCCAGATGCTCTCAGTCTTTTAACAGGTTAAGAAGAACACTAAATTTGAAGGTTTATTATGTGATTTCTTCTTTATTAACTTCAGTTTCTAGGAGGTGTATGCAATTGTTTCCTCCTTTTAATGGAACTGCAATGTGACACCATTGTGGCGCCACAATGGTCTGACTTAAAAAAACAAACAAAGAAACCAAAAAAGCTCCTCCCTTAAAACCTGTAGATCAGTTTTTGCTTGCAAGACTTTTCTTTCATTTCGTTGTTCTGAACAGAGATAACTGCTTTTTCTGATTCCCTACAATTTCACTTGTAAAGTGAATTATGAGATACAGTATTTAATAAGTGGAATGATTAGTAGCAGCTATAAATTAAGCCAAACCTTTTGTGTGTAGCCATTCACATACTTAGTCTGGTGGAAACCAAAATTTTTCTGTTTGGGTGTTGCAATCATAATTACCAGAGTGAATTGAGCAGGGCTTCACATTCATTGTAGGGTACAATGTAATTAATCTTAAATCCAGTACCTATACTTAATGATTGCTGCATAAGATGGTAGCTAGAATGCTGTTGCAAATTCACTCAAAAATTGTGTAGAGTCCAAACTTTTAGTAGTATGAACAGTATGTATGTTTTAAAAATGAAATACAGGAGCTGATCCATCAGTTAAGGAGGCTGTTAAGCGTAAAGAAGCACCAGAATGTTACCGGGATTGTGTGGCTAAACAATGAGACAGAAAGTACTTGCTGTGGAGCAACAGTACCTATTGTAAGTATTGTAACTATTTTGTTTTTGAAAAGGTAAACCAGTCACTGTTTCATGAGATCAATTTGCCTTCTAAACAAGGAAGGCTAATACTAAATAGAAACTGGCAATGGAATTATTAGCAGTTAAACATTAACAATTATTTAACACTATTTTAGTCTCATGATATCCTTATCAGCTGTAGCTGAAAGCAGCACAAAGTCCATTCAAAGAACTTTTACATTTTTGACTGGAAAGAAGTTCTTGTACATGTATAGAACTGCTTGCTGTTGTGTAAACACAGAGTTGTAGAGCTAAAGCTAGAATTCATTTAGACTTTAAGGACAGTCCTCTGCATTCTGTTTAAAAACACGGCCAAAGTGACAAAGAACAAACTCCATTTCCTGGAGTGTGAACACAAGAGTCTTTTGTATCTTGTTAATCCTTAAAACCAGCTCAAAATGGCATCCTATACTCCACATAAGGAATAACACCAACCTCCTAACTTCTAACTATGTGGATGGATTAAATGCTTATTAAACTCTTTAAATGTGGACTGCACCTAAAGAAAGTTTTCATGTGGTAATATTGTCTACTTAAATGGGAACACCTTCATCAATGAGAGATTATATTATTATGAACACCTACAAAAATCTGTTTGTGACTTTTGGGAGTGAGAGTTGCTGGAAGGGAGGTAATTATTACAGGAGCAGTTTGTGTAGAGAATTAGCCAAAGTGTTTAGCTGATTGAGAGGGCTAAGGTCAAATAATGTCACATGTTGCTGGAACTAGTTTGTGTGAATTGGTGAAGTAAATGTTATGTATTCAACCAAAGTAAATTTTGAGGAGATTGGGTGTTACTGAAGAACTAAACAGGAGATGCATGTCCCTGTTCATTCTTATCCAGGTGACTCTAACAGTAGTACTTGTGTGCGTGTGTATACAATGCTTTGAGAGGAAAACAGACCTAGCCTACAAGGAGAGGACGAAAGCATCAGAAATCTCGCTTAAAGTTCCTGTGCCTCTGTTCTAGCAAATGCTTAAATGCTTCCCAAGGTCAAATTCCGTTTTGTTTAGACCAGATTCTTGGCCTTCTTTAGTCTCAACTAAAGTTGTTCGAATCATTTAGTTTATCCCTCCGAACTGCAGTGCTAGGTTTGAGTTGGAAACCCTGCATGTCCTGGCCGGCCGTGCTCTTGGTGTCACCTCTGCTGTCGTGGCTCGGGGAAAGCTGCCCGCGGGACCGAGGGTTGCTTGCTTGTGCCAAAACTCGGCTTCGGATCGCTCCACCGTGGCGTTGTGGATAAACCTGGAACTCCCTTCCCTGCGCCCTGTTACCCTCCAGTGCTGGGGTCTGCTCCCACAGTGCCTCCGTGGAGCTTCCCGCTGCTCCTGCCCGGCTCCATCCCCGCGCACCGGGGCGAGAAGAGCCCGCTCCGGACCCGTTCAGCTGTTCCAGCCGGGGCAGCGTCCCCTCGCTCAGACACCAGGGAAAGGAGGCACTTCAAAAAGGTGCTCCCCAGATGGACACCCGCTTTGTAGACCTCCACACTCACAAGAGAAGGCAGCTGGTAGCAAACAGCAGAGATTTGCGAGAGTATAACGTGCATCTGCAAATGCACATAGACTCCTTTAACTCCGCGCTTGAGGCTTATAAAGAGCCGCTGGGATACAACTTCAGGGCGACAAACAGGAAGCAAGTTGTGGATGCAAGATGTGAAATTCAGCAAGTGAGCAGTTATGTAAAAGGCAAGACATGTATTTGTGTTCACCCTTGTGTTAGTTAATGACCCGGGTCGCTCGGTCCTCCCGCACCACAGCGGGCGGGGGCAGAGCCGCGGCCGCCCCATCCCGGCGCTCCCTCCCGCCGCTCGGTGGCGCCGCTCCGTGTCCCGGCGCTCTCTGGAGCCGCTCCGTGTCCCGGCTCTCTGTGGTGCGAGGGGCGGAGCGCTCGGCGTTTCCGCCGCCCCGCGCTGCCTTTTCCGCCCGGCAGCGGCATGTGGCGGGGCGGGGAGCGGCGCGGGCGGCGCGGGGTGCGGCGCCCCGGGCCCCGGTAGCGGCGGGCGAGGTGCCACCGCAAGGCAAGGGGGACACCGGGGGGGAGACCCTCGGGAGCGGGGCGAGGGGCTCCTCCTGCTGAGGAGGGGCCGGGGGGTGCGGGCGGTGCTCACGCCGTTCCCCGTCCCGCAGGCGCGGGGCCGTGGCCATGCTGGGAGGGGACGAGTTCATCAGCTCCCCGCCCAGGAAGACGGTGCGGTTCGGGGGGACCCTCACCGAGATCCTGCTCAAGTACGAGAAGGTGAGTGAGTGAGTGCTGCTCCGCGGGTGCCTCCCTTGCGTCCGGGCTGCCCGCGCTGTGTCCTGGGGGTCATTCAGGGCGAAGTCTCGTTTCGCCTTACACGATACCGTGTGTGAAGGCTTAGGGAAAAAAACCTGAACGCGGTGGAAAGGTTTCCCCCGTGAGTCAGCCTGGGTGGGTGTGAAGCCGGGCTTATGCCAAAGGGTGCACGGGGATCCCAGCTGTGTCTGCAGGGAGAGCAGCTGAACGTGAGCCAACCCTTGGTTGTCTTTCAGCACCCTGTTACTGCTGCCTCAGCCTTCCTTGAGCTGTCTCTCCCTTGCTTGTGTTCTTAATGTACATAATGTTCTTAATTGTGTTCTTAATGTTCAGCAATAATAGGTTGTTCAGATATGTTGATGAAATGGGTATATTTTGCTGGAAAAAAATTGAATATTTTCGTTTCCCTTGCTAGGGTGATACCACAGATTTTGAGTTGTTGAAGCATCAGCTGTCAGATCCAGACATAAAGGTAAGAGTTTTCATAGTCAGGAGTCTGATGATTTAAAGTTTGTCTGAGTGTAATCATCAGACAAGTCATTCTGGTGCTTACACAAATCCTTTGCTTTAAACATTAGGTGCATTTGCTAGCTTTTTGCTCTGTGGAAACTTTCAGAATTAAAACTCTAAATGTGAAAAAAAGCAATTGTCTATTTGTACACATACATATATGCAGGATCTCCATAAATGGTGTCTCATACTTAATGACTCTTTGCTCTAGAGTGAGAAACCTTTGAGTCTGTCCATGATCCAGATACCATCTTTTTGTCACTGAGCCTTGATTTTAGAGCTACTTTTGTAGATCAAACCATGGTTTCTCACTTTAAGTTGCACCAAATTTTACCTTCTGTTCTCACTAAGAACTTGTTGAATTAGGCAGTAACATACATATGCATTTAGTAGTTATACCCAGAAAAATGGTTTCATAGCCTTTCTGTACAGCGGCGAGTACTCACCACATTTGCTGTCCTCTTTTTTTTCCTTTTAATTAAACCACAAAACAGAGAACATGGTGCTGCAGGAAGCACCATGCTATAGAGAGTTCCTTTTCTCCCTGAGAAGACATTCTGTAAAATGTTTTTAGCAGACCTTTTGGAGCATACAGGCAAAGTCAGTGGATTTGCTACTGTTTCAGTATAGTTTCAAGACTTGAATGTCCCTTCTGCTTAAACTAGAGGAAAAAAAAAGAAGCAGAAGATTGAATGCCATTTTCTTCAAGTATGTTCTGTGTGAGTGAGGTTTCATGCCTTGCTCAGTCTGCAGCTGAAGCCTTCCAGGCAGGCTGTTGGTTTAGGAGTCAGTTTGCACATATTCCTGCATTCAAGAACTTCCACTGTTGAGGACACAAAGAATTTCCTCACATATTAATGTGAAACAATTTCTATTTACAATCTTAATATTTGACTTTTAAGGATTTTGTTATTTTCTACTAATAGGTAATATTGTTTATTGGAATAGTTATCTATTTTTTTCTGCTTATTTGAAGGATGCCCAGATCATTAATTGGCTCCATGAATTTCGAACTTCTGTTGCGTATTTGACCAAAGAGCTCGAACAACTGGTCAACATTTTGCTGGTAAATATCGGTTTGCTACATGGAAAGATTAAGAGTTTAGTACTCAAAACATCTTTCTCTGACATCTTGATCTTTGCTTACTTTCAGAAGCTGCCATGGTTGAGAAGGAGCCGAGAGGTAGTAGAAGAATATCTGGGTTTTCTTGGCAATCTGGTGTCAGCACAGACTGTCCATCTCAGGCCGTGCCTCCGGATGATTGTGTCCCAGTTTGTCCCCCGTAAGTTACTTTTCTCCTCTTTGTTTGCTTATCAGAATGTCTTCCCCAGATAAATTCTGTGTAAGTACGACATGACAATTAATTACTGAGTCATTGGGGTTTTTTTTCTCTGTTGAATTGTGATACAGATAGTTTTCTGTACCTAGATTTTAGAAGGCATATTCTAGTGGCCAACACAGATCCTGTTCTGAATATGTCTTTGAAATGGTTGAACTGTGTAATGTTATTCCTACTAAAAAACTAACAGCTGCTGTGAGGATCATGTCAGGTGTCCCCGAGAGCCTTCTGGTTCTGTGAATAAAACACTCTTTTAGAAAGTCCTGTGGCTAATTTTTATGCTTTAGTCCTGATGGAGACTCTAGTGCAGTGTGTTTGGCACTGAACCTGTTACCTGTAAGATCTGTACAGTTTTGATCTAATAATCTCCCTTTTTGCTAGCTCGGATAACCATCAGAGAAGACGATGTGGACATTTCAGATTCTGATGATGATGATGAAAGTGAGTATAAAGGAAGCATGGCTTATATATGCTGCTGTAATACCTTTACTGAACAAGTATACAGTATGTATTGCTCCTTTTTTATAAAATTAATTCAGCAGATTATAAGTAAAACATCAAGAAACAGTACATCTGTAAATAACCAAGTCAAAGTCTTTCTTGTACTCAAATCAGTGGTGTGCTGACCCACTCCTTGTTACTTTCAAAACATTCCTGTTGGTGCAGTATCTGTAGGAATAGAATATGTAGGAAAATATTCCCTATCCTAGACTGTTTCAAAGCCAAAGAATAGTTAGGAGTTGTTTGGTTTCCATTTTATTTACCTCAATGTACATCCCCCCCCCCAAGGAACATTTTGGCAAATGTGGTTTCCTCGGGAATCTTTCAGTTGTTTAGTTGATATGAACTGTTTTTACTGGTTCCTAATTTAGTTTTTTGTAAACAAGTGCATAAGAATATTTTTTCTTTCTCTAGACATTTCTGAAAACTTCGATACATGCCACAGAGCTTTGCAAACTGTTGCAAGATACGTTCCTTCGTAAGTATATAATCCTATGGCTTTGTATCCCTTCCCTTGCAGATTTAAAGCTTCTGAACTGATGATTTTTTTCCTCTCTTGGTGGGGAGTGTACTACTTAGTTTCATTGCATGTTTTTTCCTAATATTCACTAACTGGTGGAATGCTCTCATGGTAATAACCTATAACTTCCGCATTTGATTTATTTATTTATTTTTAATTATAGGACACCGCAGTTTCTCATGCCAATACTGGTGGAATACTTTCCTTTCATTAATAAATCAGAAAGAACTCTGGTAAGAGCTGTGAATATTTTTGTCGGCTTGTTCACTTGTTTTTTTAAATGTACTAAAATAGTATTACAACTGATTTGGTGGCATTGAATGCAGATTTTTGAGAGTATTTTTATATATATAAGTATATATGTACTAACCATATATATATGGTTGTGTCTGTTTAGTATGAGGTTGTCCAAGCATGCTGAAACTCTTTGTGCATAAGCATTATGCAAGTCTTTAATGACATAACTACATATCTTTTCCACAGGATTACTTTCTTAATCAGTGCACAGGATGGAGCTCTTTGAGGATGAGTCTCAGGGTTGTGTAGTCAGGAGACGGGTAGGACACCCTGTCTCGTTTGTTATCAAAACTGGAGGGTGTTTGTCAGGGGAACAGAGGATTTGATAAGCAGACAGGAAGCAATGGGTGTTATAGGTGAAATCCAAACTGCCAGTAGTGTAGAGCCCTAAGCTGTTTTAGTACAGCTTTGGTGCAGTGCTCACGTGTGGTGAAAAACAAGCTGGAAACTTTTGACAGGGTATGGCTCTTGTGTCATCTTTACATTTACTTGTTCCAGCTTGATAAGTTGGCACTTTATATTACAGGAAGGCAGAGCCCTGCTCCTCCAGCCAAGTTCAGTTAAAGCTGTGTTTTGAACACGTCAAGTGCTGAAAAATCCCCAAAGTTCATTGTGTATCTTGCTAGGTTTTTGTTGTTGTTGTTGTTGTTGTTTTAATCCAAATAACTTGAAGCATCAGTTCCTTGTCTGTAAAATGGAGGCATAATAGCTCTTATATGGTGTTAGGAGATTTATTTACTTAGCAGCTCAATGAGGAACAAGTCATGAAGAAATGCATAACTATTTTCAGGGCAAGGCTTGAATGAAGTGTAATAAAATATGGTCCATGCATTGTTAAGTATTTCCAATGTACACATTCTCACTAAACTATCTCTACTCATTTTATGTACTGAGCAAGCCAGGTGGCCTGTGGAAAAATCATATGTACTCATGTAATTAAAGGTTGTGTTATAATGCATATTCACAAAGAGACTGTGATGTACTCAAATGTAGTGCTTTACCTGATTTTATGCACCAGCTTGACAGTTCTGCTATGTGAAAGTTGCACCATTGTCTTTTGTAGATATTTGTGTGCATATGGGGGGCCCATCCATGCTCACAAAACTTGTCTGTTAACCTGCTTGA